CCTTGATGGCTCAGTGGATCCTGTTGAGAAAGAGCCTCTCTCAGGTTCCTGGGTGCTGAGTCTAAACCGCAGGGCCTCCCCCTCAGTCAGCTTTACAGAGACCTCCCGCTCAGCATTTTTAGAAACAAAGTGCTAGGCTAGGCAGAGAGGCCGCCTGAGCCAGCACGTCTTTTGTTCTGTTTTTATTCTGTAGCACCACCGCTGGAGAAAACATCAGTGGTGGTGCCACAGTCACAACCGCAACAGGCCAACGGCATTCCGACCAGTGGGAAGACTTGGGATGAGCGCAAAGCAAGCAAAAGCTGAAAGCCTTCAGATTGCTGGGTCCCTTTTGCGCTCTCGTTGACCGCCTGGCTCACCACCTGGGGATGAGATCACTTCTAGCATGACCCAGAAGCACTGGCATTGCACCCGGGGCAGCACTCAAGCACTCCGGCGTTGTCCCAGCAAAATGCAAGTACTTCCAGGTCATACCGGAAGCGCCATCATCATGTGGTGGCGATGATTGCCACCCTCCATGTTAAGTGCCTTCCTCCCCTCAGTTCTCCCCAGGCCTGGCAGGCCCCAGAACAAAAGGACCCAGAGAACTCCGGCTCTTTCCCCTTTGGCTTGTAAAGTTGCCAGCCTCCAGGTGGGTTTTCTATCCAAAAGAGAGCTCACGGGAGGAGGTTGTATCAAAACACAAACACTCTCTGAATAACTTACGAATAGACGTAGAAAGGAATATAAAAGTTCCACGTTAAGGGAGTAGCAGCTATGCACGGCCGGCTTCAGTGCCGCGTTCGCTTCCTGCTTCCTCAGACAGCTGACACTCTTCTAGCTGTGAAACTGAAAATACATTTCTATGACATACCTATTACTTATAACAAATTTGCCATTTCCCCAGCTGTCAAAACATACATAGGCCCCGGTCACACGGAGCATTAGGCATGCTAGAGGGATGGAAGATAGGCGGCTTTTCCGGGCGCGATCTCACCGCCACATCTGGGAAGCGTAGAGCTCCCGTGGCGCACCCGAGGCTTCCCGCCGAAGATGCGGGGTAAAAAACTAGTACCTCGGAGGTACTAGTTTCCGGAAACCGCGGGGCAAGGGCGGGCGTCTGATCACGTTTCCGGTGGCATCCAGCGCCCGCCCATGTCCCGTCACGAAAAGGCTATTTTTTTCCCCCAAGTCTCCACAGATGCGCACAAGCACCCAACGGAGCATGCGAATACTTGGGTTAAAAGAAAAAAAAAACACCACCGATCTGCTTCTTTGCCGCGCCACAGGAGTGAGGTATGATCGGCACCTCCCCGCAACCACGGGCAGTCGGCCAGACGTTTGATCCCGCTACCGTGCAGTTGTTCGCTCCGGGGCAAACAGCCCCCCCCCCCGTGATATCCGGCCCGTGTGACCGGGGCCATACTTACTCAAAAGAACTTTTGTTTTCCTGTGGAACTTACACTTTTTTGAAGCGTCTGCTCTCCTGAAGCATCTTCTACAGAAGATTGGTGTACTTTATTTGGAAATTTGTCTTTTGTATTTACTGTTGGATCCTAACCCTTTAAGAAACTATAAGACTGTTTGCATTGGAGAAATAGTTGAGCTGTTAAGAACTGTTATATTCTTTCTACTTCTATTCATAAGTTATTCGCGGAGTGTTTGTGTTTTGATACAGCCTCCAGGTGGGGCCTGAAAACCTCCTGGAATTACAACTGAGCTTCAGACAATTGAGATCAGTTCACCTGGAGGGAAATGGCTGCTTTGGAGTATGTAGCCTATGGCCTTAGAAGCTGCTGAAGCCCCTCCCCTTCACAAAACCCACCCTCCTTAGGCTCCGCCCCCAAATCTCCACGAACTTCCCAGCCAGGAGTCGGCAACCCTCGGTTTGGGCCTCTGGAAGAGAGGAAGAAAAGGGCAGTCGTGCCGGAACTCGGATGTGGCTGTCTCTCGTTCCGGCAGGAACTTCCCTGCTCCCCCCATGCTTGCCAAGGGCAA